CTTGCTGCAGAATTGGTGTGAAATGAGCTTCTCAATCCGCCGTTAACGTTTTGGATAAAACCCCTTCTACGTGTTCACATTTCATATGTCATGCCAAGCAATTTCAGACGTCCAAAAAATGAAGACATTTCCATTGGTGAAAAATGATACATCTACAAACAATGCCTTATAGTCTTGTTGAAAAGATGTCATCTTCATCAGCTATTCTTTATTCTGGGCTGGATTAAGACCTCCATATTGTTATCTTTGCCTAGGATGCACGATGCAGCTGTAATCCCTTCAGGTTCGCTGTCGCCGTCTCTTCTTCCCCAGTCTTCCCAAACAAAAGCGGTCCAAATTTCGATTTAAAGCTATCGTGACTGCAGGTATTCATCTTCTTGGTTCTTTCGGTAAAGTCACGTAGAAGGGAAATAATAAAATAGTAAAAATACAACATAATAAATAATTCTCACGACGTTTCGGCCACAACGCAAGCAGCCGTCCTCAGGTGAAGAACAGGTCGCTGTCTTTACGACAGACCTGTTCTTCACCTGAGGACGACTGCTTGCGTTGTCGCCGAAACGTCGTGAGAATTATTTATAATGTTTTATTTTTATTATTATTTCCCTTCTACGTGACTTTACCGAAAGAACCAAGAAAAAGCGGTCCAGCGCACTGCTCCTCTGCCTCATGCCTGAACCCACTTCTGAGCATTTACCGTGCAGCGTTCAAACAAGCCGGTAAAATCATGGGACCCCTCCTTTGCCAGTACCAAAATATGAGAATAGGTTTTCCCCTTTTTTCTGGCAACAAAACAGGTGTTAGGATGTTAAAACACCAAACCGAAACCTTTTACAAGGAATCATATCTGCATTAACCACAATACTTGTGGTCAATGCAAAAAAAACACTGATAATCTATGCATTGTCTTTGAAACCGATTGGTCCACACCAGATCAGCTTTCTTTGTTTGCATTCTGACCACAAGCATTGTGGTTAATGCAGACATGATTCCTTGTAAAAGGTTTCAGTTTGGTGTTTTAACATCTTAACACCTGTTTTGTTGCCAGAAAAAGTGGAAAACCTATTCTCATATTTTGGTACTGGCAAAGGAGGTCCCATGATGTAGCTGCTCACCCCGAGCTCTCATTACTCTGATAGTGCATTGTCTTTGTGCTGTATGCCTGTTGGCGTCCTCTGGTCAAACACCTTTTGAGACTAGGCTCAAAAGAAAGCTGTTTCTGGTGTGGACCAATCAGTTTCAAAGACAATGCATAGATTATCAGAGTTTTTTTTTTCATTCTGACCACAAGTATTGTGGTTAATGCAGACATGATTCCTTGCAAAAGGTTTCAGTTTGGTGTTTTAACATCTTAACACCTGTTTTGTTGGCAGAAAAAAGGGGAAACCCTCTTCTCAAGCCGGTAAAAGGTGCAGCCCAGCAATTGCTTGCCCATGCTGCTGCAGGTAAAAGGGCCTCCACTATGGAGGAAACCCTAGGGAGCCCCTCCAGTGGGTATGTTGTTTGACTTTCCTGTGCTGAAAAGGATGGGAGTGCCCACATTAAACCTCACGACGTGTGCCCTGACAATCGACTGCGGTGTACCTATTTATACCGCCGCGGGGACAGAAATGGGTGCGATTTAGGAACGTTTCTCCCGATGTTTCAACCACCACACGGGGGGGTGGGGAGGCAAAGCCCAAGATGATCATTAAATGTCAAACAAGTCGGTAAGAGTTTTTAAATGTTGAACATTTAATTGTGCATCAAGCAAACAAACCCATGGCTAAACAGGTAAGGTGAACTAAATGAGCGGGGCGATGTCTGTTACAATCTCCGAAGGGCCTTTCCTGCAAGACTGGCAGGAATGGATCGCATGTCACCAAACACACACACACATACAAAAAAAAATCTAAACGTATGACAAATAAGGAATTTTTTTTCCAAAAACAGCAAACCGGACAAACGTGGTAATTCAATAAAGATGTGCCAAAACATCAGCATACCAAATAAAAACAGAAGCACCTGAAAGATTACACCTACATTAAACAATCATTGCACCGTTGGCATGGAGCCATTAAGAGGAATCACTCGCCCTGCAAATCTGCCGCACATCACTTTTGTTAAAAAATAGTACAGCATTTGAAGGAGTAGCTACCAAAAGTAACGCGCAGCAAACGCTCTTACACAAACGTACTGAAATGCCACGTTTCCGATGGCAATGGCTTGCACAGCCAAAAGGTGTTCATAAGTGCGTTTAGTAATCATTTAAATAGAGCATTAACTATCAAGTGGTGGTTGGTGTTCAAGAGTATAGTGTAAATGTCTCAAAAGGGTATCTCCCACGTGTTTCGTATACACACTCCACTCCAAAGTGAACTGCACTTGTTCCCTTCAGAACCACTGAAATCGGTGGCGAATACCAATCGCTCAGTGGCGAAACTTCCACGTCACAAATTAAAAAATAAACAAACACGTGTGCGCGCCTCATAGCCAACATATCCAGAAGCACTTCTTTAAGAGGCAATCGTTAAATAAGGCTTTGAGCCGAAAGCTTTAAAATATCCCAACTACAGCAACACCATTCGGCAAGAACACACAGGATAATTTGTAGAGTCTAACCGTTCACAAACACACGCGCGCACAGTGCATTTTGTCTACACAACGTACATCACGTCAGCACAACAGCACTCACCGACGGAAGACTTGCATGCATGGGCAGGGGGAGGTTTATCCACACTACTCAGCAATACAAGCTGTGCTTGTGGTCAATATATATTTAATCCGCAACAGTTACGTTTTTTAAATCATCAGCGACACATTTTCGGATCTCGCTCAGTGGCTAAGATGCATACCCTGTGCGAAATAAAGGCCTCGCGTTGTTATTCCCAGAGCAATGGACCGGTCTGCTCGAGATGGGACGCGAGATGCTTGTGGGCGTGCGAGCGTGCGCTCACTTCGCTTGTCCTTGCGGATATGTAGGCCTGCCGTAACGAACGTCGTCTTCTCAAGCCAGCGGTAAATTTCACTACGAAAGGTCCACGAGTAATGCCGTTCACTTTCCAAAGTCACATGGGAAGGTTCGGAAAGCGTCTTCGCTATCTTCTACAGGAGAATGCCTTGGTCCCGGTTGTTGGTGCCACTGCGGTGCATCAGTCTCGATTCATGTAATTTAAGGCGAGTGCTTGTCCAGCCGTTATGAAGCAATGATCACAGGCGGCTCTTGCTCAAAAGCTTCCGCGCAGCTCGTCAAAACAGTGCACTTGTAGGATGCCGAAGCTGCGTTAAACGTTTCCAATTAATGTTTCATCAACAACCAAATTAATGTCCAGCAGACAGGTCACAGAAATACGATGGCTAAAGTACAACCTGGCTCGATCAGGGCGATAATTCAACGCCTGCTAACTTTTGTCAATTCCATGCTTATGCCACTCTCGTTCTCAATTGCGTTGACTGCAGATATTCTAGGACAACAGAGAAAGCAACTCCCCAAAAGCTCTGAGCACAAGTTTCTAACGTCAATATTAACATTGTCTGAAATACACAGGGGCCTAGTTGTTTTACAATCATGTGCTACCCGAGTTCTGTTAACGTGAAGCGTTGCCAGAATAATAACTTGTAAGTAATTGTTGTCCATCAAAAGTGCTGCTCTAACTTTATTCACTTCCACTTTCCACAAACGAATCTATGTTTAAAAGTAAATTTAGGTTTTCTTGTAGGTATCACCACCTCTACAAAAGTATACAAGTATTTTTTTTAAATACAACTCTGTAATGTTTATCAGAAATTTGCGAGGTTGGGTTTTATATAAAGCCACACATTGTTTGCTTGTCACCGAGATAATTGATTTGAGCATTTTCTCTGGAGTAATAATTTGATGACATGGGTAGACACACACACACATGTATATGCTGTGTACACATGGAAAGACACATGCAAGTAAATATGGAAACATAACACACCCATTACAAACGTGAATGCTTACGTATATACAGTTTTACATTACAAAGAGGGCATGGGAAACCATATCCTTCTATCGAACAAAAAAATCCCTTCATGTTCTTTAACTGATGTTTGTATGGCCGCTAAAGTGCTAATAATCTATGAACGCATGAAACATATACAGTACTTAGTAACTATGCCCACTTGCACATGAGAAGCTTGCGCACTCATCTGGGAGGTTGCCAACAAACAAAAAACGTTTAAACGATCACGTAACCAACTTGGCACGCACATTGACGACAACCATAGAATGGTAAATCCACATTGATGCGTTGCGGCATTGTTTCCATGAAAAAAGGAACTAAAATGGGTAAGGAGAAGAAGATGCTCAGGGATTTACTCGGAGCAATGTGTAAAATAAGCGCTGTGCAGGGAAACCACACAAATGATGAAGAAACGTTGTCGCTCTTAAGGGGTTCATGTACTAAATAAGAAAACGCTATCAAATAGTAAACACGATTAGCCTCCCTATGAATAAACTTGTCTTTGCTTATACCACCTTACGAATGCCAGTCAGGCAAGTGCTTGAAGTGTACATATTTGAATTAGAACACGCATGCACGTGCAGGGAGTTAACGGGTTGGCGGTGCACTTACTCGTTACCCTTTCGGACAATTACTTGTCATGCATTTGGGTTTACTGAATATTAGTCAGAAACTGCTTACGCAGACAAACATTACGTGTACGATAAAACAACAATTGCCCGCTCGGTGCATCTAGGGAGGAAAGCTTTGCTGTGGCAGCTCCACGCCTATGGGGGGGGGTGGGGGGCGCAATAATTCCATTGGCGCTTGTTCCAGGTCTTTGTTTAACCTGTCGTTACACATGTTGTAAGGTTTCGATTTAAAGCTTTCGTGACTGCAGGGATTCATCTTCTTGGTTCTTTCGGTAAAGTCACGTAGAAGGGAAGTAATAAAATAATAAAAATAAAACAATAAAACATAATATGTTTTATTTTTATTATTTTATTACTTCCCTTCTACGTGACTTTACCGAAAGAACCAAGAAGATGTTGTAAGGTGTCCACACCAAGAAATGTGCGACACCAGGCGTGACCGCCCGGTTGGAGCGTTCAGACTGACCGTGTTTGTGAGGAAGTCACGTGATGCGCGCACAGACGCTCACTCACGGGTAAACGTGCGCGCGTGTGTACGCTCGCGTGTGTGCGTGTGCGAGCACGGCAGCTGGTTTCAGGCTGTAGCCGACTGGTCTCCGCCGGCAAGTCTCAAGGTTGTTTGCGGAGGTGGGAAAAAGTTAACTCGTGAATGCGTTTTCCGACCTGGCGGAAACCCAGTGAATCTGCAACATCTTCTTCTGCTCGAAAAAAAACAGGGCGTTTACGTTGCGGAGATGACGCAAAGCAGAGAGGAGTTCGGAGCGTGCGCACGTGCGTGAGTTTTACAGCGGCTCGGCCCGTGACCCTAGTAAGAGGGCGGCCACTCCGGCGCCGACGGTTCCTGTCAAACGGCGCCTCACAGCAGCTCGGGCAGGTGCTCGTAGAGCGAGTCGAGCAGCCGCTGGCTCGCCTCGCGGCTCTTGCAGCCGAGGATGTCGAAGATGCGCTCCAGCTTCTCGTCGGGCTGGCCACACGCCTCCACGGCGCGCAGCTCCTCCACCGAGAGTAGCGAGAAGACGTCGTCGAAGATGGGCTGCAGCTGCAGCGAGTCGGCCAGCACCTGTCGTAGGATGGTGTCTCGTTTCTCTGCACGCACGCACCCAGAAGGGGTGAGGGTTAGTGCACCGCCCCTTCATCCCCAAGGCCTAAAAACCAAGGCCATACATGCATTGGTGTTCGTGAAGGACGCGTCCGTTTATTTGCGTATACATTTTGTTGCTCAGTTTCATCAGCTCATTAGCCACCGCCATGTAAATCTAATTTAAACATCAGACTCATCCTCAAGTAAAACCTTAATGAATCAGTAGCCTTAAGCCTTTAACATTTCAACATGGCGATCATGCGGCATCTCATCAATCATTGATTAACATCAAATTTGATTATTCTCATGCTTCAAATCACATGAGAATCGATTATATGCGAGGTGTTTTTGTTGTAAAGTAATCGATTCACATGAACCTATGCAGCACAGTGACTGTTCCCGTGAACTGCACTCTTGAATCCTCAACCCATATTAAGGGTTGTCTACTGGACCGTTTCATCTCATCAACGTTTGTATTCCCTTGCTCAATTCAAGAAACACATCAACTCGTATCTAAAAATAAACATCCAATCGAACCGTGGCCTCAAATTGCAATGAGGGGGGGGGGGCAAATCCCACACCTCTGATTATATTATCACCGTTGTCAACGTACGGTACAAATGAAGTTCAACATACGTACGTACGTACAAATCGTTACAAATTGCCACGAAACGCTCGAGTAAGACGACGTTCAAGGGGAACTTCCGCGCGTCTGCCGGGTGGTGGCGTCACCCTTGGCGATGAAGGACCAGGCCTTGGCGGAGCCGGTGGACGAGCCGGACGAGGTGGAGTCGCAGCGCAGCAGCGGCTCCGACTCGTCCTGGAAGGGGGCGGTGCGGCCCGGCTTGCAGGCCCCGCCCACGGGCGTGTGGAGGCCCAGCCGCCCCTCGCCACCGGCCCCAACCCCGGCCCCCGACAGCGTCCCCGCGTCAGACCCCGGCGCCAGGGAGCCTCGCGTACCCCGCCCGGCACAAAGCACCATCGGCAGGGGACCCACCTCGTCCCGTTCCGTCTAAAGGGGCGCACACGAGAGCATTTTCGGGAGCATCCCCGTCGTTAGTGGGCGGCAGATTCGAGATGCCAGTGCACAAACGTGCGGTGGGATCAAGTGAGATTAACACGGAGGCTTTCGCGACCAATATCATCCATAATACAGTTATATCGCGTAAATATATAAGTGTAATATATAAATGTTTAACCATTTGGATAGCCACAGACTTTGTGCTGCTTGGAAGCAAATCATCAAATCATTCATCATTTAAATGCATGCCTATACAGGTCATCATACTTCAATCGGGACTACCTTTGCTACGGCTATTTTAGTACACGCAATCGATAGGAAGTACAGCAATGGGCTTGCATAATGCGCATGCATAATATACCTTTATTACCATATAATTAACGCAAACGGAAATGGATACCCATAGTCATTTATAGGCGCTCATTAATCCCCCCCCACCACTTCGCAGAAGAGCGCACACGTGTTGTCATCACATCTACCCCTCTATTTAAGGAACTAAATAGGAGGATTTCTCCACAAATCTGGCTGTCGACTGATGAAGCTAGCTGTAAAAACGTCATACTCCGATTGTAAATGTTGTGGCTTTGCTCTCCAACACACCGGTGTGCTGTACTCCAAACGAATTGGCACGTTCTGTTTATGTGACAAACCTGAGTAATTGGCTGGGTCGGGTGGTGGCAGGTTTAGCGACACATTTATATATTTACGCGATTTAACCAAAAAACCTGTATTATGGGGATAAAGTGAGTTAGGCACCCAATGGTGCGTAGATTTTTTCTATTCAAGTTTTTTTCTTATGCTCACAATAAACAAATCGAACGGCCCGTGGGAGATTACATGATTATATATAGATATTATATCCAAGGGTTGCACCCTTGCCTTAACCCTGTTAGATCTTATTTCCACGCCAAATGTGATGCCGTGATCCGCAGAATAAATGCTAAAAGGCGTTTCCTAGTCTTTGGCAGGTCAGCATTTTTCTCTCCAGTGATAAGATTTATAGCCATTGCCACGGTGCGGCCTCCAGCACGTCACCTCGGGAAAACAGATGCAATGAACTGCCGCCCCATCTCATTTTGAGGATTTCTGCTCAAGGTCACCAAGTTAATTATACCTTCATGGACTGCGACTTTTGAATAACAATGTAGAAAAATGCTATTTTGTCAACACTAAATCGCTGCAATGTCTTTTTCCGTCTACTCCATGGCCTGTTCTGCTCATTGTCTTTTTTTTCTCTCACCAAATTTAGCCTTGAGCCATGCAGGCTCCTTGCATCATGCAGATGTGACAAGGTTGGAGTTGCTCGTCCCTTTGAATTAATCCGCCTTGTATGTTTCTGCTCAGATATATATCGTGTACAGAAAATCTACACCACTTCATCTCACACCTGAACACAGGGATTTCCTGCACGTGCACATTCGGCACACAAACGAAACAAGGCACTTGGCGAAGTACCTTCGTTGCAGATGCTTACGATGCCATTACGTTACCACTGACCACAGCCGTGCTATCTCATAGAGCTCACGTTCCAGAAGCGGACTGTTTAATAAGACACCTCTGTCATTGCGCAAATGCAAGGTTTAATGCGACACAAAGTGCAGCCAGGTCTTTTGGCAATAACACCAATAATTTGTTTTTTTAATGTAAATATTCTAATAAGGAATGCAATCTACAATGGGAAAAAACTAAAATCTACAACAAAAAATCCAAACGATGCTAAACCAAAAGGACCTCAGTTTACCAACATTCCATACATGCATTTATCACAATACGGGAGTCAACATGTTGCCAGCGGTTTGATCACTAACAGTCAGTTGTGACTAATGCTTACAGAGAGAGGCCTCGCTGTGCACCACGTTGCAATGAATAGATGTTTGAAATAATAACTTGTACTTCACAAAGCCACATTTATTAGCATTTTCAAGGAAATGTGCAAGAAAAAATGTAATCAAATTTCCAAATGGTGCAGTGCTTTGAGCGTTCTCTCTCTGAGAGATTTCTACAAATGATATATACATAGCAACGATTTTCATGGCCAATGCCATTATTTCCTGTCATGCAATGTTGTTCGGGTTATTTATTCATTTAATTCAAGGATCCGTAGGGAACATTGCGTTAAAGGAAAGCAGAACTGAGATTGCACCAAATGGAAACAGCTGGCGCTCACGTACTGTGTAAATCACACTTTACAAAACGCTGACCAATTATGGGAACTAAATAAAAAAATTTGACGTGGTAATTCTTTATTGGTTTGAATGCCAATTATTTTACAATGTGTTAGAAATAGCAAGCAGTCGCGTGTGCCAAGACCAATCCACTTGCTGTCGCCCTTAATGGGATGATGAAGCCATGACAGTTGGAAGGCAGGAGAGATGCATTACCCTCGACAAGGCACATCACAGAATGCAAACCAGAATATTTCCACTCTTCGTGTTATTATTATTATTCTTTCAAAACGATAAAACGATGTTATGGTGGATCAGATAACAACCAGGACTATTTAATTTCTGACCCAAAGCAGCCCATTATTTCTGGGTACTTTCAGCAGATTAAAAATGTATGATATATCAATAGGCCAGCTCTTAGTATTGCAATAGCTAGAGGCATGTCCATTGATCTGTGACTGCTTAACAGGACCATTTAGTGACCAATCTTTAGATGTGGTATGCAAATACACTCTGCTAATTGTCGCTCATGATGCACTTGTTATTGTCTCCTTATAGCATTTGCTGGTTACGTAATCATTTAGAAGAGGAATTATTCATACTGGGTGAACAACAATCTCAATCATTAGTCTCCATATGCGGCTCAAGGTGTTTAAATGACTGGTTGCCATCGAGAAAAACGCAACAAGTGAAAGGGTCTTAAACATGAAATAAATTACGAGTGTGTAATAAATGCCCGCAGCAACTAAGGAAATATATACATGTTAAACTTAAACATTATTAAGATATGACGATGTGAAAGAAAAAAAAACACGTTTAACAATGTGTACATTCGGAGAGAACAGGTGACTTGGGGTGTATCAGAGGGCTCCACTGGTCATGTCAATCAATGATCCAGCACCACTGGATCCTGGCTTTGAATCTGCGCAGACACTCGGTATTAAATGCACTTTACATATGTAGCAAGTTGAAGGTTTCCACCAGTCACCAATAACTTACACATATCATGTTAAATTTAGCTTCCATAAAATTTCGTACCGACCGGGTATGGAGGATTTAATTTATAGACAACTGATACAATTCTGACGTGGAAATGTTTTTCTTTGTATCTGCACAAAAACTATAAGGGACAGCGTTGACAATAGTAGTATAATGTAGTAGAAGCATATGGGCACCACGGTGGGGAGATGTTAACTACCTCACCTGGCATACAGGAGGTCGCGAGTTCTATCTGAACCCTGATGCCTGTATATTTTGGAGTCTACATGTTCTCCTCGTGGTCGTGTGGACTTTTCTCCAGGTCCTCCTGTTTTTCCCTCCACATTTAGAATCAAGATGCATTTAGAGTATTTGATTGCTACACATTTCCACTTGATAAGCCACACCGTTGAGCTATCATTTGTGGCCAGGTCGCTTCTGAAAAAGAGCTACATAGCTCAGTGGGGGCATTACCTGGTAAAAAAGACATTTCAGTTCAAGAATAAAATTTAAGGCAGTTGCCCTTCTCTGGTCTGAAGGATATTTCTGAAGACCACTGCATAGTTTTTTTTTCCAGGGGTTGCAAAATGTCCAACATCTCCCTCCACGTGCCTCTGGGAGCTTCTTCTGGAAGCACCTTTAGGAAGCTCCCAGCGGCCGAAGCGAAACGTCGGAAATCATTCCGCACAACACGCGGAACAATCCGACGTTTTACGCCACATCCCGGGAGCACTTTTAGCGAAACGTCAGACACCGTCAGTTTAACACGTAGGCTTTCGCGACCACTATCATCCATAATACAGGTTTTTTGCGTTAGATCGTGCAAATATATAAATGTGTCGTTAAACCCGCCACCTCCCGGCACAGCCAATTAGTAAGGTTTGTCACGTAAACAGAACATGTTACTAGGACAGCACACCGGTGTGTTGGAGAGCAACACGTGGGACTAACCCCCAACCACATCTCAGAGCTGGGAATACAGACAGCTGACGGGAGACCGAGCGAGCGTGCGAAGACCGCGCACAACGGGGGAGACTCGACCCACCAGCGCGGAGTCCTCCATGATGGCGCGGATGCGCTCCACGAGGCTGTTCCAGCCGCACGTGCGCAGGGCCCCGATGAGACGCGCCAGGTTGGCCTCGGCGTCCAGCGCCGTCCACCCGAGCAGCGCGGCGTACGCCGCCTCCTGGTAGGAGGCGTGCGCCGACTCGTCCACCAGCGCCGTCGGGTCCTCGGTCGCCGCCGCCGCCACCGCGGAGGACGAGGAAGCGGCCGAAGCGAGCAGCGCGCGGTACAGCTCCTTCCACTGGCAGCCGATGTGGCCGGCGACGAGAAGCAGGATGTCCACGCCTGCGCCCACAGGGAGAATGGGGGGCGAGAGGGCACCTCACCTCGGTTAACTCTCACAGACAGACGTAGACATTCACCGCACAAGTGTCTACGTGGTAATGCAGCGGCGCTCTTTGTCGGCGTTATGCGCGCCTGTCGCCAACTATCGGAAACGGAAACACCTTCGGTCTGCTGCTGCTACTCGTGGTGATCCCGTTGTTGTTGTTGTTACACGAAGCCGACTAAAGACGCGCAACACCCACGCTTTTCAGAAGGTTGGGCCCCATCGGATGGAATTCTCTACCCGACAAACTCAATAATAAAAACCTTCAAATAAATATAATGAACACAGTGCGACCAGACAGCAATGCACATTCGAGATGCCAAGAGCTTGATTTTGCATTTCTTAAATTATTATTTACATGACATTACTAAAAGCTAGGTAAGAGCCAGTGGTTAACGCACTGCACGATGAACCTGGCGACTCAAGTTCCATTCCCGGCCATGGCTAACGTCAGTGGCGAGCGATACGTTAACAGATTCTGGGTGCAATTGTTCCTAAACCGCACTGACCAGCGTCGTGAATTGTGGAAATTATTAGCCGCAAGAGCCCACTACCCTATGACCAAATTGCCTGGAATGCACTAAATCCCAGCAGACATGCAAAGTTGAACAAGGATATCGCCTGGATGGGCGATAACCATGCTTGGCATGTCGTTACGTTCTATAGACAACTGTAAGTTGCATGGTGGACAGCTGAAGGGTGGTGCAGCAAAATCTGCTGTTGTATTGTATATATGTGCTCTCCAACCTCACCATGAAAGTTAACGTGGTTCTTGAAATGAGCTACGTTATACGAGCTTCGGAAAAGGCACGATCAGAATCTGTATTTATACTGGAGGAATCCGATGAGCAATAAAGCTCTTTTTTCACAGATGTCCAGTAGGGAGGGAATGGTGGGAGGGGAACTCCAAAAATCGAGCAGTGTGAGGAAACAAGCAGGAAGAGAAGTGTTTTGACCTGCAGTATGATCGATGAACACAGCACGGACAAGATGAAGCAGTCAGCCTGGCACACTGTGTCCTCAACATGGGTAGAGGAATCAATAAATGAGGTCCACGGAAACAGGAATCACGGCAGCAAAAAAAAAATAGCGGTAAAGAGGTGACCAACCGTGAGTGAGCGAGTGACTGGAAGTGAGAATTAACGAGTGCTGGATCGTCCATAAATTCGGCTGCTCTGATAAGAGGGGAAATAATACAGAGAAAAAAATCCCCTTGGTAAAACGTCATATTCTTTGGGTCTTTCGGTAAAGTCACGTAGATAGGTTCAAAAAAATAACAAAAAACTACAACGTTTCGATCGCAACACAAGCGGTCGTCATCAGGAAAAGGGGGGTTAGCTTCTAACGACAACTGCTTATAAAGGTTTGAAATGGGTGTAGCTCAAATATCACCAGCCAATGCCAATGCAAGTGGTGGGCCGCTGTGTTCGTGAACCTATCTACGTGACTTTACCGAAAGACCCAAAGAATATCAATTCCGGCAGTCACGAAAGCTTTAAGTCTAGATTTAAAACGTCATAGTCGGGGCTCATCACCAGTGGAGAGATTACTCAAGGATGGGTAGCTTAGGAGGCTAATACTGCATGAGAGCATTGAGCGGACACCCCATGGATTTGAATCTGGGCAGCCGCCCATGATTAAAATGGGTAGTGTCGTCTGAATGTCAAGAATTGTTGGCCTCAGTCCAGTTACTGAACAAATAATAATGACATATGGGCTTTCATCAGCTTATTCCAGGCTCTCAGTAATATATTTGTTGTGTTGGATTGAGAAGCAATGAGCACGTTTTGTAAGATATACAAAAAGTTGCACCCCCTAATGTGGATAACGAGGGCTGACGAGTCGACATCGGAAGTCGCTCGATGGCATCAATTTACAGAATTGTTCTCCGAAAGGATATTCAGCTATCTCATGGCATGGTACTGAAAGCAGAGCTACAATAAAATTGGGCCAAAAAAAAGATGAGTTACACTTACAAGAATCTACAGTGATCAGGGAGGTTGCTATTCTTTATGCATAATTCAATAATGCACCAATGCCTTAGCCATATTTAACTTAACTTGCTTTAAACAACACACATGCTGCACACATGCTATGTATCCTACTTTTAAACTACCGTGGGAGAAAATACTTTAAGATAACACGAACCAAAAATATTCCGTAAACTTTTTTGCTGGTGGAACAGCCAATCTCAGCAGACTTTTAATGAACAGCTGGTGTTCCAGTCTTGGCTGAGAACAGCGGTAGGCTAATGATCAAGACATTGGATCACAACTCTGAACGAGTATAGAGTTCCCAGCCCTCTCCCCACCCCATCCCACCCCCCTCGAACCCCAATGAAAAAACAAGCAAAAACCTTTCAGTGACAACAATTCAAGAGCTAAATTTTTAACCTAAATTACCCCGTACAGATTACATGTCCAAAATGAAAAGCCGCAGACAGGCCACATATCCTGGCAATACAATGTCACCATATCACCTACAAAGGCGTTACAAGCCACGATATCCACTCCCTTTGCTAGCAAAGCTGGCCTGGCTGTTGGACGCCATGACGTCCAGTGACGAGAAGTTGCTGTGCCTCGGGCAGGTCACGCACTGAGCATGTCCAAGGGGTAAACTAAAGTTGATATTTGTTTCCCATTCGGGCAAGCCCGTATGACATTCTTTCATTTCTATGTATGATTGATCTGATAATTACGCGTGTCAGATGAATGCACAATGTCTTAATCATCAGAGGTACTGTGCCTCGAAAGACAAGACCATAGACGCCCGTGCTATGCCCCGCTGCTGCATCAACTCAGGCAAGTGCCTATTCCACAGACAAGATGCTCTGTATAGGTTCGTTACGCCTGGTGCTGGGATTGGCTCTCATTCAAAACAAAGCTTCACTTTGGTACTTTCTCTGCATGCTTGGTGTCAGCGTCTCGGTGAGAGACTCCTACCTCGTCATATCCTTGAAGCAATGTATGAAAACACCGGAAACTTTTATACATGTCTGACTTACTCTATGGATGACCTTTACATCAATTTTTTTTAGGTCTGACGAATCGCTGACAAGTCTGGCAAGATCTGGGTCCACGGCTGCCAATGCATCTGGCTGGCCAATCGTTTTAAAACCTCGCTCAAAAACAGCACTCGATATTTGAGCCTCTCTCCACCACGAGGGTCACTCCTGCAGCTAACACTCACAATATGCATGCGGGTATAATCAAGCTCTAGCAACCAAAAAGCCACAGTCAAAACAACACAACCGCAGCAAAGGCATGAGACAAAAAAAATATTGAGAATAGGTTTTCCCCTTTTTCTGGCAACAAAACAGGTGTTAAGATGTTAAAACACCAAACTGAAACCTTTTACAAGGAATCATGTCTGCATTAACCACAATAATTGTGGTCAGAATGCAAACAAAAAACATACTCTGATAATATATGCATTGTCCTTGAAACTGATTGTTCCACACCAGAGACTGCTTTCTTTTGAGCCTAGTCTCAGAACGGTGTTAGACCAGAGGACGCCAAAAGGCGTACAATACTGTGAGTAACTACACATGGAAGCAATGCTTTCTTAAATACATCAATAGCACAAATCTGGCTGTTCATGTGTCCAGGAATATTCGTGAATCTTTCTGCGAATCATAATTAGATTAACCCATGAAGACAGAAAATGTTTAATTTACGAAGCTACAGCAATAGGCGTAGTACACCTAATGGCTTTCGCTTCACTGCATTTTTCTGCCCACCACGTAGCCTGTCAGCCTATAGCAACCTGTCATGCATGGTGGTCGCCAATACAAGGGCGTATCCAGGTTCCATCCTGCTTAGCCTCTGAGATCTGACAAGATCAGGCACATTCTGGGTGATACGGTCACAGGCTCCAAAACAAATTATTACTATTAATACAGTCTGCAACAAAAGGAATATTTTTTCTCAAAATGAATAATGCAATTGTGCTAGCAAGCTCACAATGATGTACTGCATTATAATATTATTTCAAAAGCAGCGTGTTGAGAATATTAAGTTACGTTCAAAGTTGCTGGATGTACAATGCCTTCTGGAATAGCGTGTTCCGACTGATTTTTGTTTGAACAGTCAGTCAAAAGCAAAGAAAATATTAAATGGAACACTGTGTTCATATTCTTTGGGTCTTTCGGTAAAGTCACGTCGATGGTTCAAAGAAAATAACAAAAAACTACGACGTTTCTGTTATTGTAATAGTAATAGGTTTTTACCCTTTTATCTGGTACCTATTGCTATATTTTGCTACTGGTAAAGGAGGTCTCATAGTGTAAATACGACATTTCTATCACAACACAGGCGATCGTCATCTTTCCTCCTGATGACGATCGTTTGTGTTGCGATCAAAACGTCGTAGTTTTTGTTATTTTCTTTGAACCATCTACGTGACTTTACCGAAAGACCCAAAGAATATGAATTCCTGAAATACGACAGCTTTAAGTCAAGATTTAACACCGTGTTCCTTAAGTAAAAATTGTAAAGCATGCATACTTGGTGATAACTGTGCAATCATACATCCCAGCGACATAACTTAAAATGTCAAAATATATTACACCTTGGCTTAATCTCAAAGAATCTATCAATCACAGCCCTACGGTTTTGGCATGGGACTTAATTTAGCTGGCATTTATGCTCTTCCAACGACTTGTCTGGAACACACACGTAGTTTATTTACGACTAGGCCACGGTGAATAGTGACTAAGCAGTTGTGCCTACTCTGCACTGCATTGTAATATGATGTTTGGCTTAAGCCGTATCTTGCCTAAGAGGTTACAGATAAATCTTGACTTAAAGCTTTCGTGACTGCAGGAATTCATATTCTTTGGGTCTTTCGGTAAAGTCCCATAGATGGGTTCAAATTTTTTTTTTTTTTTTAACTACGACGTTTCGATCGCAACACAAGCGGTCGTCATCAAGTGACCACAGTTTTTTAAAATGATTTTGAACCTATCTACGTAACTTTACCGAAAGACCCAAATAATATAGGTCATAGCTAACTCACCCACGGTTTTAAACCAAGTCGAAGAATTCCCAAACGCCTATGAAGGATATTAAGGGGAGAGGCAGCAGCAGTTGCGTGGGATAGTGAATGCAATCGGCAATACGTGGCGAATGTACGCAACGCACACACTTTCTTTTCCACACGCCATTTAAAATCAACCCAAAACATCAAGTGCACTCACAATGGAAACAACCAGACAAATATAGGGCCAGCTTACGTGCAGATTAACTCACGAAGAGGTCGGTAGACCAAAAAAAGAAAAGGCCAATGCTGGAGGTTTATGCCAAAACGTTTTAAGTCTGTCTTGCCACCCAAACACCACTCCACACTAATGTTTACATCAAAATGGAACTAACACATCAGCAGGGATGCCAAGAACACAGGGAATTTGAACCAGACTGCAGTGGACCACGGAGCCAAGCCCACAAATGTGGCGACCTCAAACATGTGCCATCACTCGGGTATCTGAAAACCGAATCTCTCGCATCTTTACTACACGAGACTGAAAAAATAACCCGAGTTATTATACAGCTCACTGACGCAAACGGAAGCCACGGCCAATATTATATAAAACATTTTTCGATTTAAAGCTTTCGTGACTGCAGGGATTAATCTTCTTGGTTTTTTCGGTAAAGTCACCTAGAAGGGAAGTAATAAAATAATAAAAATAAATAATATTATATTATTTTATTATGTTGTATTTTTATTATTTTATTACTTCCCTTCTACGTGACTTTACCGAAAAAACCAAGAAGATATATAAAACATGTGAATGCAATACATGGTGATGCCTTCACCATACGCGAACGTTATTTTTGCACGCTGCTCTGCACCTGCTGTTTTTGTTAAATTCACTGTGCCCACAACTTCTGCCCATGTGCCGAGGCGCAGACACATATCCTGCCCTGTGCCAAAAGCATTTACGGAAGCACGCTGCATGCTCACTCATCAGAACCGCTGGACTCCACACTCCCTGAGTGCAACAGTGATTCAGTGACTTTCTCGTGTGCGATTACTTTAAGTGAGGAATACAGCAAGTTACTAAAGGGCAGATAACTGTGTCATCATGTGTTGCACTTGACCCCGCTTGCTCTTGCTATGTGGTTACACGAGGGTTATTAAAAAAACATTTTTATTTCATCATCGGTGAGCACGTTGTAAAAACCGGTTTAAAAAAAAGCATTACCGGTTTTGCCGCACACACGATGTGCAACAATTACCGTAAATGTACAACCCTGCATGTTTGTGTGTCCGTTTGTCATCTTATATATATGTGGCATAATGGTTAACATACTTGACTTGCAATCCAGAAGTAGTGGTTCGAATCAAGACTCCCAGCAAAGAAATTAAAACAACGGACACGTTTCTTTAACTTCCGTGCCTCTGTCCACCATTCGGTACCCCCGCAGTTAATTGTTTGGCAGGGTAGGTGTGGTGGGGTAAAAATCGTGTGCACACTTAGCTCTTCCAACACTTTTAGGGTCGTTTAACAACCCTAAATTCTACTTCCCCAGGTCTCCACTAAAAAAGGGCCTTATCGTCTCAATAACTTTTAACCTGATCTTAAATTAAGGAATTCTGTTTTATGGTACCGTTCTTCCAAGAAGCTAAGATTGGCTACGCAAATAAATATTCTTGGGTCTTTCGGTAAAGTCACGTAAATAGGTGGAAAGAAAATAACAAAAAAAAACTACGACGTTTCGATCGCAACACAAGCAATCGTCATCAGGTGAAAAAATAGCGGGAACGCTGCTGAGGCAGGATGTTTTAAAGGTTTGAAATGTGTGTAGCCCAAGGGTCATAAGCAAGTTGGGCGGGGCTAGTGATGTTAAAGTGAGACATTTGCATGTCAATGTAAGATCGGAGAGCTACCTCCACGACGACGAAGCTGAGGAGGTGGCCATTGTATTGTGAGAGATTAGCACGTCAATGTAAGATGGCAGAGCCACCGCCACATCGAGGAAAACGAGCAACGGTGGCTGATGACGACCGCTTGTGCTGCGATGATCGAAACGTCGTAGTTTTTTGTTATTTTTTATTATTTTCTTTGAACCTATCTACGTGACTTTACCGAAAGACCCAAGAATATGAATTCCTGCAGTCACGAAAGCTTTAAGTCAAGATTTTACGCAAATATAATCTCGATAACATGGGCAGATTAGGTTTTAAAAAAGCTAGCCTAAAAATAAGTGTAAAATTAAGGACAAGCGTTTGTCAAGTCTCGTACATTTCACAACAACACCGTCCCCTTACCTAAAAATAGGGTTATATTCTACTCCAGTCGTGACGTGTTTACGTAATTATTCATCAAATGACCTTACGGCCCGGTATTTAAGGCCACGTCAACCATTTTTGTTTAAATTGGCGAAAAAACAACTCTAATCTTGCACCAAGTAATTTTCGGATACCATCACGGAAAACAACTTCATTAAGTAAGCTTGAAACAACTCATCAAGAAGCAGCCCAGGCTAACCTCAAGCTATATTTACTCAAAGCTACATTTGTTCCTTCGCAATGAAGCACTGTGCAAGAGAAGCTGAAAATAGGTGGATCAGCATCAACTAAGAGATTCTGGCCATTACACTTCTTACCGTGATAATCGCACCTCCGATCACCACGGTAAGCACGGCTGGCTACGGTAACGATGCAAAAGAAGTTCAACGTACATAAATATATACGTGTTACACTTATTTACGGAAACGGTAATGATCCTTAAAATAATAGGAAAGGGCGGGAACGGAAGTGATGCTCACGGGAATGTACGGGAACCGTATTTATCCATTTAGAAGCTCAAGGGATGGAAGGGGACCTGACCCCTTGGGGACACAGAAGGAATGGCACTCATGGGAACGGGAGAAAGAAACGATGATGGTGGAGACGCCATTTAACACCGGTTTATGATGGACAAATATATACGAAAGACTAATGTTTCTGCCAATTGGACTTACGATGGCAGCGAGCTGGGAAAGGCAAATGGACCGTTAATAAGCTGGTTACTCAGGGCACCACAGTGCCCCGTGATTTCCAACCGTAGGTCATTTGTATTTACGTACGGCGGACGTCTTTCGCGCTGTATGTAGCCAACCGCGCTAATCAGATGCGAGCGGGAAGGACAACAAACTAAACAAAAAAAAATCGGATTAAAAAAAATTCGTTTTCAATTTCAGATTTAAAAGTGCAGAGCTCCAGTCACTTCCTAATATCGGAAGGAAGAGCGTCCCCCCAGACGGCCGCAGACGCGCACCTGAGAGTGTGCGATGCGGTGACCGTCTTTGTTCGATGGCCAGCCAAAAACATCACCTCCCCTAGCTCACCGTTCTCTGAAAGAGGGCCACTATACCGAGAACTTCAGCCTGCCATAACTTCTGTTAGGAACGAAACTTGAGGCAGCGTTAAGAACACAAGTTGATGCTTTCGTTCGTGCTTGTACACCGCCAACGGATGCAGTTCTTTCATTTTCAGTTTGATTTCCATCACAATCGTTGTTTAATTTCATATCTGTTATACTGGTGCCTGTCTTAAAGCCACTCTTCGTCAACTCTTTTAGAAACTCACTAAATGAAAAGGGGATGGAGGGGGGGGGGATCTAAATTTATGGAAAGATATATTTATCAAGCACATGGCACGTGATTGGAAAATGCTATTTTTTGATCCCAATGAACTCTATAACCCACATTAACACCATCTCATTCAATGCTGGTTTATTTTAGATTCTCTGTCAACAAAATAAGACGAGTCATGGCAAACAGATATTAAAAACAAAAAATGACACTGCAATTATATTTTTGCTTCACAAATGTTGTAAAGAGGCAGTTCTAAAAAAAGGGCAATTGTTGAAGGTTCTTAATACTTACTTGGTTCAACCTTTGTTGACAAATTGGCATGAGAAATGTTTCAAGATACAAAAATAAAACAAAATTCAGTGCCGTCTATAGCAGATATCATCATTGAACTTTAGCTTATGATACAATGTCAAGCATGTGGTCTTGGCCCTGCAAAATTAAATGTGCAACAGTACAATAATTTGCTAAACACGAGATTTAAACAGCGTCAATAAATGGGAATCATAGGGTGATGTCCCCACAGATAAATACACGAGAAGAAAATGTTCAAACTTTGTATGATTATGTGTCTTGCCTAAAATGGATCTCAAACAGTAAGATAGGAATGATTTAAATTTGTTCAGCCAAACCAAAATATGTTAAATATGTTGTTTCACAAATGGGTATGGCATTCATATCAAGTTGGTAGCCACATAGTTGGATAATAATACATAAACGTGTAATTTTATACGCCGTAGTCAGGATAAAACTCCGTTCAAAATCCCCTGGATGTCACCCCTGCCGGGTGAAGCATTTCAGTGTAATTACTGGTCCACTGTCCACTTTTGGCAAAAGTTTACTTATTTTAACATTTTTCACTGAAGATGATTGCAGCTTCAATTCCACAAACATGGTTTAATGTCAATGATCTCTGCCACAGGAATGTGGAATTTTTATTGGTGGTTCAGGACCAAACAATGAACATTCGAGCAATAATAGTTAGTTCTTTCAGTAAAGTCACGTTTTTTCAAATTTTCTTGCTGTGGTTTTCACACCTGATGATGATTGCTTGTGTTGCAATCGAAACGTCGTGATAATTTTATTGTTTTATATTTTTATTATTTTATTGTTTCCCTTCTACGTGACTTGACCGAAAGAACCAAGAATATGAATGCCTGCAGTCACGAAAGCTTTAAATAAATAAAAATAGTTAGGTGAAATTAGACTTACGTTGGCCCTGGTAGCTGAAGACCCACTTGTTCGCCGGCTCTGCAATCTGCAGGTTGAGCTGCGTGCGGGACTGCCCTCTCGCCCTCTGACTATGCTGCTGCTGGTGGTGGTGGTGATGGTGGTGATGGGGCAGCTGCTGATGCTGCTGCTGCTGCTGTTGCTGCTGCTGCATCTGGGGCGGCACGGCTCGTTGGCGGATGGTCTCGGGCGGCTCCCCAGGCCCCTTGCGTAGCACTCGCGAGCTGCGGTACACGCTGCACGCCACTGCCACCACGAGCAGCAGCAGGATGAAAACCACCACCAGCCAGGCCACGTGCTCGTTGATGTCAAAGGGCGCTGGCGGAGGCTGCGGAGGCTTGGCCAGAGCGCGGCCTGATGAGGAGCGGGAAGGAATCCTGCTGAGCCCAGGCGGAATGTTCGCCGCCGATGAGCCAGAGAGGGGTGGCCAGCGACGGGGTGGCTCCCTTGACGGTGGCGATGCCTTGTCGCGTCGGTCGACATCGTCGAGGGAGGGCCGCGCTTGCATCGTGGGGATTTCACCGGAGGTGCTGTCTCCGGATATAGTTGGCACTGCGCGCTTTGGCAATTTGGTCATGTTACTGCCACTCTCGTTTTGAGCGCTGAAGGTGTGCGCGCTGTCGCCCGCTGGTGTGATTGGGATGTCGGAGCTGAAGGCAGTGGTAGCGACATCAGATTCGGGATTGGTTTGCCAAATGGCGCTACCTCGGCTCTCCAGAGTGAGTGGTGATGTAACCAGGCCCTGCTGATGAGGATCTCCTGGCTGTGGTTGGAGCCCTGAGGGTGAAGGTGCATATCTGCTGTCGGCACCACTGGGCAGAGGAAGTGGGTCCAGGTGATGCTTACCGCTAGAACGTGGTGTGGCTGGGGCCACCAGCTCTACCCCACCCTCCTCCTCTGCCCCACCTGGACAAGACAAAAATATGTTTTTAACGTCTTGTTCAAACAACATTCATTTCACAAGTGTTATCCCATTTGTTACGTGGCACTCACCGGTGATCCACCGCTTTTGAGGCAAGGGTTGGTGGATCACCGGCTGTAAATGTGAGTATATATGTATGCTGAACTTCTTTCGCACCGTACGTAGCCAACCGTGTTAATTGGAGGTGACCAGTAGCCAGAAAAAAGCAGTGTGTATGAGATGCACTGGTTCCCTCTGGGTACACTGGGTTTTTCTGTCTGACCAAACATCCCAAGGCAGGACCCTTCTGATAAAGTCTCTTGACACTCATTGTGGCTTTTCCAGGTAGAAAAACTACATTATTTAGGTCACTGTATTTAGCAAGTTTCTTTAATTTCTTTATCACAACAAGAGCTGTATTTTGCCAACAACTTAATTAAAAACTTAAATACAACGGGATTTTTTTTCCTGACATTCTGCTCTTAAGTGCTGCTGAAATATATTCCCAATTCATATAAAGTTTAGCTAAATAACAATAAATATACTGTGACAATGCTTGCAAGAGGTAATGTAGTGTGTTTAATTAAAATGCTTTCTTGAAAATTGTACTGTCAACCTCTGTGTACCTTTACACAACTTTTACCGAATTATTTATACATTTTTTAAAATCCTTTGCGATAAATGGAAAGTGTGCCAGTAAATAATGTCATAACTGCTAGTTTTTAATTTATGCTTTGGCTAATTTTCAATCTGTTCAAATGCCTTCGAACCTTCCAACATCACCATCTGTGCGCTCCATTCATTTCAAAACCAGCAAGTCCTGCAACGATCCAAACCAAACCTCGCAACGGGCAGGTGCACGCACATGGCTCAGGACCCAGGCCAAACATGTGCAGCCTTATGTTTGGTCACACGGTCACCGATTGATTGGCAATAACGCTGCACTAACTTGGCTGGACTATGTATAATATTATAATAGGGTTTTTCCTCTTTTTTCTGGCAACAAAACTGAAACCTTTTTGTAAAAAAAAAAAAACCACACAATACTTGTGGTCAAATGCAACAAAAAAACACACTGATAATATACGCATTGTCCTTGAAACTGATTGGTCCACACCAGAGACGGCTTTCTTTTGTGCCTCGTCTCAATTGGTGCCAGACCAGAGGACGCCAAAAGGCGTACAGCTCAAGGACAATGCACTATCAGAGTAATGAGGGCTCGGGGTGAGCATCTACTGTACGCCTTATGGCGTCCTCTGGTCTAGCACCAATTGACACGAGGCTCAAAAGAATGCCGTCTCTGGTGTGGACCAATCAGTTTCAAGGACAATGCATACATTGTCAGAGTGTGTATTTAGTTTGCATTTTGACCACAAATATTGTGGTTAATGCAGACATGATTCTTCATAAAAAGGTTTCAGTTTTGTTGCCAGAAAAAAGGGGAAAATCCCTATTATTATATGTTGGTACTGGCAAAGGAGGTCTAATGATATAATATTATGCTTGCGCATGATTATTCCTCGGGTAGAATGTCATTGGAATCAAAGTTTACTTAAGGATTGATTAACCTTTGTCTTGTTTGTACCGTTTTATTTGCGCGGTCTATTTCATTGCAGCGTATGTCACATTTGTGCTCTCTCTTTGCTCAATTGGTCTAAAGGCACATTGGCATCTAATTGCATAGATCGTAATAAATTGATTCTCAAGCACGTACATTTCTGCATTTATCGAGCATAGGACTCGATTCTAATCAATAAATTATTACCGGACTAATGCGAGCAGAACAATTTTTCAGTTAAACATACATAAACTCGTACATTTACCGATGAAAGAATCGGCTTTTTGGCAAGTAGTGCAAGTCACTGACCACTGCCGTGTCAGACTGATGCATCAATTTGGTCTCAGCATGTGCAAAGCTCAGACAGCGCAATGCAACCTAAGTGCCAATTTCTATTTCAGGATGGTGCCACGGCCTAGTGGGAGCACGTTCGCTGCTTGTTGCGGAGGTTCACCGATCGAACCCAGTGGCCATCCCGATAATTATTGCGGGTGTAATCATACGCCCCTTAAGAAGAATCTATGGCCTTGAGTTTCCTGGTTGGCTGCTGGCTGGGCACCTCTTCAACCCCAACGATAACTCTGCGGGCCCATTGCCATCGAAACTGGATGGGGCACTTGGATAAAACGGGATGTTACGCGTTACAAATAAACACTGCTTTGAAACGGCGGAAGAAGTTCGGAAGACCTACAAAATAGGCGGCGACGTCAAAGAGGCGTGAGTAACAAATACAGAAGTCCAGCGTGGTTCATTTAAAATTGCTCCAACTGTTTCCACGTGTGATCATATTGATTCAATTTGTGCTCATTAATTTATTAAATCCTGAAAACTGTACAAAAAAACTGACGATACGTAATATTTTTTTTACTACAGAAAAAAGGACGTTAAGTCCTCCAAGTGCAGGAAGTGAGAAGAGTATGAAAACCACAGGTGGGCCTTCTTTTCCGTTGCACAGCAACAGGTTCTTTACTCGTAACCGTAACAAAAAAACGGGCCACCTGCATCACATGGATGTTAAAGATCCCCTGACGTCTTTCACAATGGTGCAGAGGTGTCAGGATCCAAATTTGCCAAATTCGAAAATTGCTCCCAAAATTACTCAATTGTGATTATGCACAGTGCTCATATAGCCCTCTACGAGAGACTAATTCTCCAGGTCGCTCTTGAAAATTAGACTATCGTGGTCTCCGAGTTCTCAACTAGTTAAACAAAATAAACTTGAGCTGTCAGAATTCATCCTTTAACGTGACAATGCATGCACCCAGGAACTGCATGGAACTTCAGCAGCAGCGTTCTTTATGGTGATTCACTCATGCCCAACCCCTTTATCGCTGCACCAAACCACATCTCCAGCTGTACATGTACACAGATACTGTAGGGCTGGCCGACGTGCCTCCTATGACAAGAGGGAATCGATACGGACTTTCGAGTAGCCCAGCTGTCAGTCATTTGCATACACCTGCAACAACTTTCTGACACAGGAAGCCAGGCTATTTCCGCACAGACCACACGGTCAAGCACCACAAAACACTTGACTCACCAGGCAGGGCGGCACTGGCTGGCGTGGGGACGCGGCTCGGCTCTGCCTGAGCGTCCACCACTCCACCTTCTTCTTCTGCCGAGCCCGCGTTGCCACCGCACACGTTGTCCTGGCGTTCGTCACCCGGGGAGGCAATGTGGAGATTGAGCAGCGCGCAATCCGTGTGGGGGCGACAGCGGGTGGTCGACGACTCCTCGGAGGAGAAGGTGCCGCGGGAACACTGCTTGCATCTGCATCGGGACACGTTAGAGGGGGGCGCGGAAGGGGGTGTGTGGCAGAGAAGGCGAGGGAAAGCAATGTCTCTTAAAGCTACAAAGCACATACATTTGCATTTTGGCGGCAATATATTTGGCATTATATTTCCCTCATTCCAGAGCGATGTGTCCATACCTGCACTTCCCTAAAAGGTGAATGTATTTAAACTCTTGGAAGGCAACGCACGTGCTCAAAATAGCGATGGCAGATACAAATTGTCCAGGAGGCAGGAGACGAGCCTGATATGCGGGAGTAAATCATGAACATGGTCCCCCCTTAGCCATGCCTGCTAAATATCCGTCATGTATACAGACATACAGTTTAGCTGCTCTGTATCAGACAGTGCTGCGTGCCCATGCAAAGCCTATGCAGGGGCAGGCAGTGACCCAGTTGAACTGCTTAGTGTCATTAGCACTGAACCAAGGTCGGAAACAAACTCCTGTGAGTTTCAAAAATATGGGTAAAAAAATTATCCATCCATCAGAGGGGAACTTGCAATACGTTGTGAAATTAATAAACAATGGCACCGCATCCTGCACAGCTGCCAGCTTGCCAGATCATGTTTGGAGCTTTGAGTGCAATATTGTCCTAGAGTTTGTTTACGCAACACTATCTGCAACCTCTTACAGTCTCTACCCTACACTGGTTCATGTTTCCAACTGCAAACAATAAAGTCAAGGACTACACTGAACCTAACAAAACATGTTCATACAAGCGAACACCATGAACACAATTACCTGGATGACTATTTACAGGCCACTCACTTCAAATCATGAACCATTTAGCTCAAATACAACTCAAAAGGAACATGTTAATTATATAAATGAAGAGTAATTCAGAAAGACACAACCTACGATGAGGAAAGTAAGCCGACATTCAAGCCAAGTGGCACAAGAGCGGCCACGAATGGCCATAACAGGCACAACCGAAGCGGAGGTGGAACAAGGAAATTAGCAAAGATGGGGGCTGAGCATGGATTTAGAGCTGCACAGGATCAGCAACAGCGACATCAGCATAGACAGGATTCTGTTCACTAAGCAGTGAGGAAAAGATGATGACAATGCAAAAGCCAGTGCAATTTCCACGTGTGGCCTGCAACACACATCCTTGAAGCATTCAAGTGACTTCACCCAGGTGTTCTTACATGAACAGCTGTCATGTAAATCTGTAAAAGCCAATCCAGACCCAGGAGTTTTATACACTGTTATAACAAAAAAAAATTGCCATTGAAAAACATAGTCGATCCTCTCGAAAATGCACATAGGCTAATGCAATTTTTGTGCTAATGAAAAAAAATTTGACCAAATAAACTCGATGACAGATAAGAGACAGATAACACAAGGGGATATGGTAAAAATGGGCCAAAAAATATTCTTGATTCAAAAGTGACAATGAATGACAATTCATTCCAATTATTGGGGTAAGGTTTGTGCATTTGGGCAGTGAATATTGACATGCCTACAAAATGCCTGTTGCACATGCTTCTAGGTTTTATTGCACATGCTGCCAGTAATATGGCCTATTGGTTTCATCGCACATCTTTATATGAACACGTGCCTACTCTACATGCGTATTCGTTTTATTGTGCACGTCAATAGTAGGTGACTTTTGATGTCAAAGCATCGACGCATCGGGTCACTTCTGTCCAACCTCCCCCACTCACTCACCTGACGTCTCGAGTCTCCGTGCCCCTGCGTCGGACGCCCCATCCGGGCGGGCACATGGTGTGCGGAGCGCAGCGCAGGTGCCGCCCGGGCACCGCGTCGTCACCGTCGCCACCGTCGCCACCGTCGCGCGCGTACCATCCTGCCGGGCACGCGCACACGCGGTCGTGCCGCTGCGTGCACGGCGCCCGCTCCACGGCATCAGACTCGCTGCAGGGCGGCCCGCAGCGCCGGCAGCCGTTCGCCGCGTTCTCGTGCTCCAAGAAGGTGCCCGGCTTGCAGGCCACGCACACACGCAGCTCGTTCGCCGTGCAGTGCGAAAGCACGCGCGTGCCAGCTGGGCACTTGTCGCACAGCACCTCCATCCCGGACTGCGGGTCCACGCGCCAGTAGTGGGACTGGCTCTCTTCACCGGCGCTCTCGTTGTTGTTCTTGTTGTTGTTGCTGCTGCTACTGCCAGGCGCCGCGGACACCGCGCTTGCCATTTCCACATCCAAGCCGTGGTTGTCTTCATTTGTTGGTGCTGCCGAGTTGTCGGAAGTTCTATAAATAGGCGCGAATCTTGGTGGATTTGAGTACATTTCATGCCCGGCTGGCAAATCGACTGCCAGTGTCTCCCTCGACATACTGTCCAGTGTATCTTCACCTTCTGCTGGGAAACCAACCTGCTCAATGGGCTTCTCATCATGGTGTTGCCTTCTGCTTGTGTCGAGTTGGCCCTGCTGGGATGTTGATTGCTTTGGTCTGGCCACTCCAGCTGCCATCTTCTGATGACCTAACCGCGGTTCTGGCCTTCCTCGATGAGTTTCAACCAATTCAGCCAGCAGATGTTCTGCATTTCCTTCCAGCCTGGGATTCCTTCCACGTCGCAGCGGGATGTGTCGAGAGCTGTGGCCAACAGGTGGTCGAGGCATGGAGTCAGCATCGTGCATGTCTTCTGGGGAGCTGCTTTCCTTGATTTGGATGGTGCCGATGCTGGGTCTGCGTTTCTCTTGCACGCTTGGTTTCTTCCGCCTGTGTCTGATTTTCTTGGTGGTGCCGACTCTCCGCTCGCCTGGTGAATCTCTCCAGTGGCCTTCTCTGGATTCCGTGGGTCCTGAGACACCATCATAGGGCGTTCCAATCCATGGATGATGCCGATGGTAGCTTCTAAGCCTGTGCTCTTGTTCGGACAGGCCATCGACGTCATGGTTTCTCACATTCTTTGGTAGTTTTGTTTCCAATTCTGTAAACATGTCCGTCTCCCTGGCGCTCCTGGTCCTCCTTCCACGTAGGTGCCCGATGTCCTCACCATTTCTTCCACTTCCACCTATTGCTTCCTTCAAGTCCAGTCGGCGGTGCTGGGATATCCCTGAGAGCAGAACATTGGACTGGGCGCTTTCGCCGTCTTCCGTGGATCTTCCGGTGCGACCGTGAACAGGCTTCTCACGTAGCTCTCGGCGTGGATTGCCGTGACTTGGCAGCGACTTTGGCTGTTTATAGTCTTGATTAGGAGTAGGGCCTAAAGTGGAAGCGACGGAAGGACCCGCTTCTCCAGCTTGTTCGACTATAAGGATGTGTCCTTCAGATGGTTCTGCGTGCTCAACGCCTTGCTGATGGCCAGAGTAGTCACGGAGCTGAGAAGCGTTTCCATTGTCCAGTTCTGCATAGCTCTGGGGCAAAAGGTGGAGTTGGCTTGAGTTGGAGGCATAGTTGGGGTTCTGGGCAGCAACAGCACCAACAGCAAACCAAAAGCACAGCTGTCGAGATGACAGAAACAAAGCAAAAGTTAGAACTGCAGGGCATGCAATTAATAATTAAACGTTTGAAAAATTTGAAAATATTTCTTCAACCATTAAAATGTTTCAGGAGCTAATGTGAAACAATGGTTTTGTGAGCAATTAAACATTACTTTCGAGCCAAGTGAGATTTTGAGCGCCAGTGTTGACCCGCCGTGCCGTAACGACTTGTTAATTACTGCGGCGTACATGTGTGTCGCATCCCTAAGCGCGTACATCTGTGTAGCAGGCAAGCAAAACTAATCTGGACAAAATCTCTCCGGCTGTGGCCCTTGTGTTCAGAGTTAACATTCCCATTGGTTCCTTCCAGCGCACGATGCCTCGATGTTCACCCACCATCGTCTGCGAGAATTGGAAATTAAGTGCCAGTTGAGGAATGCCTAACGTTCACTCCTCAGAACCCACTATTGTCCTACTAATCTAATATTCTAAATGAATGCTGTTAAGTGTTAATATGTAAAATACGATCGGCCAAATTAAAAAGATGAATCAGATCATATTCCTGATGAACATAGTTAAAGTAAAAAGTATAATAATTTACCATAACATCACGAATGCACAGGAATGTTTGGTCATTTCATAAAAATGTGTTGTTTCCTTTTACACCTTTTTATGGTCACTGCAAACAGTGGGCAACCAGCAAATTGCACAATGCTTGCTATGGGCCATTCCTGACAGTCGAATGATTCCTCATTCCCACTCATAGCCAAGTATGAGTGTTCCACATGCAACCAAATCATCCGGAAAGCGCCTTGATCTCGTCAGATCTCGAAAGATAGGCAGAGTTGAGCCTGGACAGTGCTCGGATGGGTGGCTCCACTGCATGCCAGGTATTATTAGGTGGCTTCAGGGCCCTGCGATGTTCCTGACAGCAGAGGACAGTGCAGAAAGATCGACTGTTGGCCTGTGGTTCTATACTAACGCATCAAATGCTCTTCACCTTCATCAACCCGCACTGACCAGTGTGATTAAGTGTTCAAATAACTTCCAGAAACCTCACAGAATAGGGAAGCCCTCATCTAGCAGTGGACTGCCAGCCATTAGTAATATTTTTTGTTCAACGGCTGTGAAACAAAAATAAACATTGCAACAAAATGAAAATAGGCGTTTAGCACGCCCGCATTGTGCATTTGAGGTGGCATCTCTCACACACACAAAGCTTGACCACTCGTAAAACCCTCACTTTGGTGGCACGACGGGTGAATTGCAAAGAGGAGAATGCACAGCGCTCCTGCACGAACGCTTGAGCTGCAGTTGGCACTCCAACATCGGTGCCGACACGCGGGCGCATGCCAGAGGTCGCAACCGGGTACCCGATACCCGTACCCTACCCGATACCCGGCTACCCGTACCCGGCCGGGTACGGGTACCTGTTTGCGACCCTGGTGCGGCCGGGTACGGGTACGGGTAGGCCGTGAGTCACTGGTGAGTAACCGTTTGTCACTCATTTCCCAACGTCTTGTCTCTTCTCACAATTTAAGTACCTAGAATCAACCCACCCGCACCTGCAACATGGCTTCATCCCAGAGGTCGCAATCGGGTACCCGTACCCTACCCGATACCCGGCCGGGTACGGGTAGCCGGGTATCGGGTAGGGTACGGGTACCCATTTGCGACCCTGGTGCGGCCGGGTACGGGTAAGGAATCAAAACCCGTTTGCGACCTCTGGCGCACGCAGCAACCAACATCCCACTATGTTACATAATGGCGAGACGGGTACGGCCGTACGCTCATCGTTTGGTGTCCAGCATGGTTCTGCCTCTGCCTGACTGAGACCTGCATGCTGCGTGATTAGACAGACATTTTGTGTGCATATATTGTCAAGTCATGTGGAATGGTTGCAAACTGCTCCTGCATTTACAGGCCAGTATGCACTAATGGCACTACAATGCGGTCGTCATGTGAGCTTCATTACTAAATGCAGGAATCCACCACAGATTAACCTTGTTGCTACCCAATCAGAAAAATGTATCTGAGTATTCATGCAAGGTAGGTTAATATGGTTAATTACTTTTGTTTTCCATTAAATTTATGTTAAATCTATTAGTCTGACCACAATAATGCAAAAGAAAACATGCTGGTACATGTGACTACTGTAATTGGCAAAGTCTTCCTTCACAAACTGTATAGTGTATCTTCTAAGCTGTTCTTTCATGCTCAGCAGGCATGCATGTCTACTAACATCATTGGTTTGTGGTAAAGCTCGATCTAGGCAATGGACAGAAGGATACAATGTAATTAATTTACTTCACAATAAAAACACACCCAATATATCCATGGAAACAGGCAACTAATTTTGCACCTTTAATAAATATACGTGGCATAACAGTTCATCTAATTGGCTAGATGCACCATGCATATTTTAATAGATTATGCAACAGTGCAATATTTATCGGGCCAATTATTACAGTATCTATGACTCATGACAATGGGCTGCAATAAACTACAGGATTATTTAAATCACAAGCAGAACAGACCATGCGTGATACACAGGCAATTATTGGCAGATCATATTCCGCTGCTATTTCAGATTATTCAAATTCCTCTTGATGAATTAAATGTGGGTCGCAAATTGTCCACCAGCCGCCCGTGAAGACACGACAATGCGATGAATTACGGCCACCAAAAGCTCCCATAGGGGTTACTCTGTTCTGTTTGACAGCGGGGGGTGTTCCGGTGACCACGTTATCACAAGCATTTGCTGTTGGACAAAGGTCTCCGACTTGCACCGCGGCAGTTGAAAAGTTTGAAAGTCACCTCACTTCCCTTCTGGGTGATGTAAAGGCCGCTAGTGTAAAAGAAGTCACCATGAATACTCAAACGTGAATGCGCTGCAATGCCAATTAAATATTGTAACACTAATCAGTAGTGGTTATGTAAGCATTCATGCCACAAACTTCGCCACGATTCAATGAATTTGAGGTCGTCACAATGCAGGGTCATGATGCTAGAATAGTTTTTTTTCATCTTATTTATACAGTCTCGTTTGTACATTTCTTGTTTGTTGTCCCTTTTGTATCGATTGAACATTTTTTGTTGTAAATTTTACTCCTCACCCTCAAAAAATGATGCAAGAAATGCGCAACAACTTAATTTGCGTTTGAATTGAAACAACTGGAAAAGGCCCACTTATGGTAAGGCGGGGGAAGGGGGGTTGGAGAGGCTCGATTTAATTGGTAGATGCTGGCAAAAGATTCTGTGGCAAATACAACATTCCAGAGGTGGGACAAAGTCATTGTTATGCAAGTCCAAGTCGAGTCTGAAGTCATCAAATTCATGACTCGAGTCTGACTCGAGTCCAAGTCACATGACTCGAGTCCACACCTCTGCAACATTCAATAGGCACGGCCAGTTTTAAAGACCCAAATGAGCCGACAACCAAGCCAACGAGGCTGAAGTTGAAGAGGGAGGCTCGATTTACAATGTAAACCCCAAGATACACTGTCAGGGATGGCAGAAACTCCCTAAACCGATGAGCCACATGCTTCTTAACATGGTCGAGAGGCTGTGGAACTTAGAATTTAGAAATTGGCGTGAATATTCCTGCATGTACTGGTGTCACGCTCCGCTGCCAGGATCGAGTGTCCCGGGCCGCTCACGTTACCACAGATATTTCCTGCTTAAAATAAAGTTATATACTGACAAGTTGAGATGCACAATCGAGCCGCAGCTGGACTGCCCGGGAGCCACATGTGGTTCGTGAATCACGGTTTGATTGCTCGTGCACTATGTAAAAGCAGCTATTTCAGCCAGAGCCAACGATTAAATGTATTCCCATATGAAATATACAATACATCCCAATAAAATGTAATACTCAATTATGAAAATTTGTCAATTATTTCCATAATAGGTTTACATTTCTTGAGATAGATCATCCACAGCATCCCCGAAGACACATTTAATTCCATAAATGTTAATCACTTTGTTCTTTTGTTGGCACGCATGAAGTAACAGTTTGCAGAAGTAAAGTTCGCACAGTTAAATGACGAATACATCTGTTTGATGTAGACAAATAATATCTCCCTCATGGATACAGAAAAGCAAAAGGAACAGCTGGCAAGCACTTGGCCATTGACCAGGTTAAGGGCTTCTGGTATGTTCTGTAGTGAGGATAATATAAACATAATAATTTTCAGCCCTTTGTCAATCCACTGGTATATGAAAGGCCTCCCCATACTTTTGGTCATAGGGTTGTTTAACCATAATGCACCACGCTGGTAAGTGGGGGTTGGGTAAGGTGAGATGGCAAAGGGCCAGGACAGACGTCACTCGCTGCTGATGTGATCTGTGGCTGGGAAGAAAAATACTCGGGTTGCCAGGTGGACAGCAAAATGCACTAAATCATCAAATTGACACAATTTACGGAATCGTCACAATTTATAAAATAAACGAGGTAGCTATTGATGACAAGCCGACTGATAAGTGCAGTACACCACTAAAATTAAAAGATGACATTTTTTATATCCTGTACCACATAATGTTTAACATGTTTCAGATGTAACACGGTTTAATTTTAAAACATTACACATGCTCCTTGTAAAAATGCTAACATCAGCAAGTAATGGAACACCTGAGAGATGTTTGCTTTTGTTTTTTTTTTAAATAATGCAGTGTTGACAGCTCCATTACATGGTTACACCTGCTCCGTAACCCGAGCGCTGAGTGTAGCCAAAGGAAATACATTTCGGGCGGCCCACACACACGCACGATGGCAACAGTGTGCAACCATTCCGGCACGGGGATAAACACAGCCAGAAAGCAGATCTACTTGTGCACGCCGGCTGGGATGAGGGTCACATTCAAGAGGGGCTTGTGTGGTGTTATACAGCGTGGCGATCGTATTACGGTTCAAAGAAAGACACAGTGGCACCGAGGCTATTCATGTCGGCCTGCGCCACGCTGTGTTTACAGGACACTGCACCGTGAATGGAAAATGGGGGAGTTGGCAGGGGCATTGGGGG